GCCGGAGCTGCGCCTTCTCAACTTCCCATTGCTGATGCTGAAGCATAGGAACTCGGGCAGCCGTCTTTAGAGTCGTACGGATCAACCTGCGCCTAATTTGATAGATGTCGCGTCTGCTTTTGCCTTAGTTTTTTTCTTCAGCTTGCCCTCGTACAAACTTTATTTGTTTTTGGCTTATGTACTTTCGGCAGCTGTGTTTTCAGCTTGTGGGCGGCTGCCGATATTTAAACTCTTCATCTACTTTGTTGACATTTGCATCCTTTAACTTGTGTGTATGAAGTATTTCTCAGCTTTCCTTCCCTTTTTGCTTATGTGAATGATTCTTGCGCTTTGCCTTTCTTCTGAAATTTTTAAAATTTGGCTAAGTACAGTTCTTCGGCTTGAAGAAATATTTGGCTGAGAACTTCTTTTATTTGAGAGTGCATTGTCTCTGCTTGCATTCCTTTTGCCCAACTCGTTTTATTCATTTCCAAGTACTAAGCTTCTAACAGGAACTTGCCAAGTGAGTGCCTCTTGCCCCCCCCAGAACTCTAAAGATTATGTCTTCTGGATTCTGGGATATCTGCTTTCCTCGGCGTAGCCGAGGATTTTGCCTTGGTGAAATTTTTGCAATATTCAAGCTTCAGAATTTCTGCTTATTTTTTCTTTTTCTCTTCAATTTTGTTTTCAAAAGCTCTGATTTCTTGCTCAAGATCCCTAGACTCTAAGAGCAATACTCTTGTGATACTTTCAATTCATTCGAGGTAACAACTATCCGAAACACAATGCTAGGGCAGGGATCTATCCGAAGTATAAGGCATCACTATGCAATACTTTGGAAATGCAATCACCACTCGGAACTGATTCATCCGAAGTACAAGGCATCACTATGCAATATTTCGGGGCTTTATCAATTCCTATTTTTTAGGCTATGTTTCGAATGCGTGTACGGCCTCTTCGCCCAGGGAACAGATTCATCCGAAGTACAAGGCATCATTATGCAATACTTCAGGCTTTTATCTTTAATCCTCATCTCGGCAGGTTTTATGACTTGCCAAAGTACAATGCATCATTGTGCAATACTTTGGACAGCGTCGAACGAAAACCTTGAATTTTTGCAAAAACTATAAAAGACAGAAAAAATAGAAATATATAGCTGAATTTGAATAAATGGTGGCTCAAAGGCCCTTTTCATTAATTAAAGATAACGTACATACATAGATTGTTCCTTCCTAAAAGGGATTTACACATGATATTTTTTTTAGTACATCAACGTTCCAGTGATTTTTCAGGTCAGTGCCATCCAACTGCCGAAGTCGGTATGTGCCTGGCTGAAGCTCATCATATATCTCATAGGGTCCCTCCCAAGTTGTTGAGAGTTTACCATGGATGCGGCCTTTTTGCACAGCAGCAGCATTCCGAAGAACTAGGTCCCCAACTTTGAGAAGTCTTTGGTGGACTCTTCGGTTGTAAAACTTGCTGATTCTTTGCTTGTATGCAGTCATTCTATCTCGGGCCGAACCTCTAATCTCGTCAAGGAAGTCAAGGGATTCTTTCATTAGTTGCTCATTTTCCTCGGCTGAGAAGAGATTTACTTGCAGCCTTTCTGAGCCAACTTCCACTGGAAGCACAGCCTCGGATCCATACACCAACTCAAAAGGTGAATGCCCTGTTGCCTCTTTTTTTGTTGTCCGAAGTGACCAGAGAGTTCCGAGGAGCTCCTCTATCTACTTGGACTTTTGATCTTCAACCCTCTTCTTGAGAGTGTTGAGGATTTGTTTATTAGCCGCTTCGGCCTCACCATTACTCTGCGGATGACAGGCTGCAGAATAAGCCAACTTAATGTCGAACTGATCTGTGTACCACTTCAGCGACAAGTTATCAAATTGCCTTCCATGATAAAAAACAAAGACTCTCGGAATCCCGAAGCGAGTGATGATATTCTGTCATATGAATTTCCTGACAGTTTGCTTTGTGATGTTTGAAGCAGCCTCGGCTTCGATCCACTTGCTGAAATAGTCTATGCCGACTATCAACCATCTTTTTTGATAAGGAGCATCGGGAAATGGTCCCAATATATCCAATCCCCATTGGGCGAATGGAAGAGGATTCAGGATCGGCTGAAGATCTCGGGATGGATGACTGGTGCGAACTTTTGGCATTTCTTGCATTTTCGGACCAGATCCTTTGCATCTGCGATCATGGTTGGACAATAGTACCCAGCCCTTAATGCCTTATGAGCTAAGGTTCTTCCCCCTATATGGTTTCCACATATGCCGAGATGAATTTCTCGAAGGACATAGTCTGCATTTGTTGGACCTACGCATTTCAATAGTGGGGCTGAATAGGACTTTTTTAGAAGTTCCCCTCGGAAGACAACGAATCTTGGGATGATTCTTTTTATCCTAGAGGCTAACTTCTGGTCTTCGGGGAGCTCACCCTGAAGCTTTTAAGCTAGGATGAGGTCCATCCAGCTCAGCTCATGTGTAACGCAGCACGTGCTAATTGCTTCGTCCACACTTTTTTCTCGGCGCACCTCCACGTATACAGATCGATTCAACTCAGTTAAGGTTGAACTTGTAAGTTTGGAGAGTGCATCGGCTTGTGCGTTCTGACCCCTCGGGATCAGCTCGACTTCAAGATTTCTCAGCTTTGCGATAACAATTTTGATCTTTGCGAGGTAAGCCACCATTGAAGGCTCTTTGGCTTCATACTTACCCCAGATCTGATTTGCAACGAGCTAAGAATCTGTCTTTAAGCAGACATGCTCGGCTTCCAGTGCTATGCACAATTCTAAGCTAGCAATCCCTGCTTCATATTCGACTTTGTTGTTCGAAGCTTTGAAAGAAAATTTTAGTGCATATTCAAAGGATTTGCCTTCGGGAGAGGCTATGACGACCCCTGCCCCAGAACCATTCACGGTGGAAGATCCATGCGTGAAAACGGTCCAGATTTTCTTTCCTTCGTCAAGTGTCTCTTGATAAGAACACTCGGCTAGGAAATATGATAAGGCTTGCGCCTTAATAGCTGCCCTCGGCTGGTAACTGATACTGAACTCGGTGAGCTCAAAAGCCCACTTCGTTAGTCTACCGGATTTTTCCACTTTGCCGAGGACTTTTTCTAGCGGTTGATCAGTTAGGACCACTATTTGATGGGAATCAAAATAAGGCCTTAACTTCCGAGCGGCTACCACTACTGCATATGCAACTTTCTTAAGTAGGGGGTAGCGTGTCTCGGCATCTGTCAGAGTGTGGCTGACAAAATAGATCGGCTGCTGAACTTTTTCTTCTTCCCTTAGCAACACTGCACTTACTGTGGCCGAACTGACCGCTACGTACAAGAACAAAGTCTCTCCTTCAGCTGGTCTTTCCAGTGTTGGGAGTTGAGCCAGATGCTCACGAAGTTGCTGAAAGGCTTGCTTTTGCTCGTCTCCCCAAATGAGCTCTTTCTATTTTGGAAGTTTGAGCGCCTTGAAGAAAGGTAGTCCTTTATTTGAGGCTTTAGAGATAAACCTAGACAAGGCGGCCATTCTGCCAGTTAGGTGTTGAACATCCCTCTTAGTCTTCGGCTCGGGGAGATCCAAAGTTGCTTGCACTTTAGCTGGATTACCATCAATCCCCCTTTTACTGACCATGAAGCCGAGGAACTTGCCTGACTTCACGCCGAAGACACACTTCTTCGGATTCAATTTCATTTGGTGCTTGCGAAGGGTGGCGAAGGTTTCGGCCAGGTCCGTAACATAGTATTTTTCCTCCTTGCTTTTGACGATAGAATCATCAACATAAACCTCCATGTTACGGCCCTTTTGCTAGGCGAATACTTGATCAACCAACCTTTGATACGTTGCCCCCGTATTTTTCAATCCGAAGGGCATCATTTTATAATTATATACCCCAAAACTTGTAACAAATGTTGTTTTCGCTCGGTCATCGGGGTGCATGAAGATATGATGATATCCAAAAAATGCGTCCATGAAGCTGAGCAGGGCATGGCCACTTGTCGAGTCGACTAACTGATCGATCCTCAGCAAGGGATATAAGTCTTTAGGACATGCCTTATTCAGATCCGTGAAGTCCACGCACATTCTCCAGCTACCATTTGCCTTCTGAACCATCACCACGTTAGTCAGCCATTCCGGATACTGGCAAGATTCGATGAACCCAACATCCAAGAGTTTTTTGACTTCAGCTGCGATGTCTTGGTTCTTTTGAGCGGAGTAGTTCCTCTTTTTCTGCTTAATAGGTCGACATGTAGGGTCGACATTAAGCTTATGAGAGATGAGGTTCGGATCAATCCCGGGCATTTCTTCTGCCGAGAATGCGAACGCATCTTTGTTGTGACGAAGGAGTTTGATCAGTTCAGCACGAACGTTTGGCTCAAGTCCCAGTCCGATGCTGACACACCTTTCAGAATTTCCTTCGGCCAACTCTATTGATTCTGTCTGGTTATCCGATGCAAAAGCCTTGCCATTGGATTCTACGGATTCTGGCCTGCTGTCAATATCAGCAAGCTTCCTGGACTTTGGCTGATCTCCTGAGTCTTTCGGCTCAAATGAAGAACTAGCCCTTTCACCCCTTAAAGATTTTTCCTTTGCCGGGGTTCTTTGGGCCGGAGCACTTAAGCCTTTAGGCTTTTTTGCGCTACGGTCCCGATCTTTCTCCTCCTCATCATCTCGGTCACTGCGGCGACCCTTGGATGGCTTGAGGTGGTTACATTTTCGGGCTTCCTTTTGGCTGCCCTTTATTTTTTCGGAGTGTCCCTCGTCGGAAACATATATCATCGTTTGATGGTACGTCGAGACAACTCCTTGGATATCGTGAATGAGGGGTCTCCCCATAATCACGTTATACACAGAGGCCACATCCACGACCAAGAATTCGGCCATGATGCTCCGTACTGCTCGACCTTTGCCAATGGTGACAGGAAGAAGGATCTTCCCATCTGGATATGACGAAGAGCCATTAAATCCCGATATCGGGTAGGGTATCGGAGTTAGGTGCTTGGCCTCCATCTTCAGCTGGTCAAATGATCCCTGAAAGGGATATTCGCCTGCTACCGCCGTCGACGAGGGTTCGCCAGACGTTGCAGTTTGCAATACCCATTACTATCACGAATGGGTCATCATGGGGATACACCACCCCCTCACAGTCTTCGGCTGTGAACAGAATGTTCGGCACCAGAGACTGAGGCGCCTGGAGCTCAGCATGGTTGATTTGGTGGGTCAGACCCCTCAAGTGGCGCTTCACTGCGCTCCGAGATACTCCTCCAGAAATAACAAGAATGTCAAGGGTGTCCTTGTCTTGCTGCTTATCTTTTTTCCGGAGAAAGTCAAGGTCTTGCCGAGAGTCTCTCTCGGCCTTCTTTTCCTCGCGGCGATCCGCGAGGTATTTCTTCATATAGCCCTTCCGAACCAAATCTTCAATCTGATCCTTCAGCTGAAGGCAGTCCTCGGTGCGATGTCTAGGAGATTCATAGAACTCGCACCATCGGTCCTTGCCCTTCTGCTGATGCCATGGTGGCAATGGTCGGGGCTTCTTGAATCTCCTCTCGTCCTTTGTCGTGATGTAGATCTTAGCACGAGGAAGAGTAAGGGGAGTGTATGAATCGTATCGCCCAGCGTAGGGACGAACTTTTCTTTTTTCGGCTTGGCGGCCGAGGACGGTTCTAAGGCCTTGGCCTTCCCTTTCCTCGACGCCGGAACCTCGGACATCTGTCCTTTAGCTTTCCCAGCCCCTGACTGGGACTGACTTCGACTTGTTCCACTCTTCGGCTCAGATAAATTTATCCGAGGCATCTACAGCTTCCTCCAAGGTCTACGGGGGATGCATGACCATGAAGTCTAGGAACTTTCCAGCTTGAAGACCGTTCCGTAGTGTAAACACGACAAGGCCTTGATCCAGACTTGTAATTCTGGATGACTCGCTGAAACGAGTCAGATAATCGCGGAGGCTTTCGCCTTCGGCTTGCTGCAGACCCATCAGCTCTGCAGTTGTCTTTTCTCGGCGGTTAGCGATAGAAAATTTGCTCTTGAATTTGTTGGAAAGATCATTCCAACCAGAAATAGAGCCTTCTTTTACCCCTATGGTGATCCACGATTGTGCAACACCTTTTAAGGTAGTTGGAAAGTACTTGCACCAGGTAGCCTTGTACCTGGGGTTAAGATACATGTGCCTCTCATAGGAGGCAATATGGTTCTTTAGGTTCGAGGTGCCATCGTAAGTAATGTGCGCCGGTATTTTCACCGTCGGCACATGCTCTTCCAGTATCCAACTCTGGAAGGGCGAACTTGTAGGGACCATAATGGCTTTCCCTCTTTGCCTGGCTGGAGGGACCTCGCTTCTCCTTCTTAAAGAGGTGGAAGTGGTTTTCGTCCCTAGTCAAGACAATTCGGGGTACGGCCCGGTCTTTTCTGGGAAAGTGAGGCGGTTGTGCACGTCCCCTTCCCTTGCGCCTAGGCGTTCATGAACGCTTCGGCAAGCAGACTCCTCCTTGTTCGTGGAGGTAGTATTGCTGCTCCGGAAACTCATTGCGTCCTGAGTTTTGGAACGATCGAAGAAGTGAGGGTTCTTCTTCCTTTCCTTGTTGGAGTTCCATGTGTACTGCCATTTCTTCCCGAGCTCCTTGTAGGATAGAGCTTGTCCATCCTTCTCTTGCTCGATTCTCCTTCTCAGGTGTCTCGGCTGTTGAGACGGAGGCTCGGGTGGCGTTAGTTGTGGCTGAGCCCCTTGGGCTTTAAGGAACTCCATGCAGACCGCCACGGCCCTAGCCACATCCTCCGTAGAGGTCCCCAGTATAGGGGTTTCTTTCGGCTGGGACCGAGATCGTTGGTTGCTGTTTGGTGGGGGACTCCTCGCGTTTGACGGCTTAGGTGAAACCGTTGGTTGTCGATTTTGGTGTGAGGATGAGTCCCCTGAAGCTTCCCTTCTCTAAGAATTAGGGGCTCTTGAAGCCTCCCTTTCTTGGGAATGGGGAGCTTTTGAGGAGGGAGTGGACGGTTCCGGCGATGGTGACACATGCTGATGCTGCCTCACCGTGATCAGGTCTCTTTCCTTCCTCTTTCTAGCGCTTTTGGCGCTTTTGCCACATTTAATCATGTTTTTTCGCTAGGAGTGTTGGATTTTTGGCTTAGCTTTTTGTATCCTCCCCACAGACGGCGCCAAATTGTTTCGGGTAAAAATAATGGGGCCTTCGACAGGCCCTTTTAAGGTGGAGAAGACTGATCTCGGTCCAAAGAACACTGGAGCCGAGGATTTCCTGCATAACAAAGAATACGTAAAACCGGCCTCGGGAGCTATGCCGAGGAAGACCCCTTCGATGCCGAAGTCAGTACTGTGTTTTAAAAGAGAGAGAATATGCTATACAAGAGATTTTGTGCTTGATGCTGATTGTGTATGAATGTTGTAAATGGAATAAGTTTGGCTTTTATACCTTTGCTTAATTGATGGATTTGGGCCCTTGAGATCAAATGGGCTTGCCATGGAGACTGGACCGTTGACTGACTTAGCATTTAGACTGGAGAGTTGAACCTTGTCATTGGGCTTTGCATTGAATCATTTGTGGACTAGGCCCAATAGGAAGTTATTTTGGACCCAAACAGTATATAATCTGAAAATTTATATGAAATACAAAATTACAAGCTTTATCATCATGAAATCATAGAATAATTGGTTAGCTTAGTAAACATGTTTAAACTAGGGGTGAAAGTTCGGTGTTCGGTTTGGATTATGGCCCAAACCGAAGCCAAACCGAAATAATTCGGTTTTACATTTTTCAATCCAAATCCACACCGAATTTTAATTCGGTCCAAACCAAACCGAACCGAATTTCTGATTAGCAAACCGAAACCAATCCATAAACCGAATTTTTTACCAGATGCAAATTGAAGTATAAGAAAACTAAGCAATCTTTATAATTATAAACATAAAATTACACAAACTAAACTGAGAATTAATTACATACAATCAACCATTATAATTTTGTCCTCCGATTAAAAAAGAAATTAAATAAATAAATCAGATCTTCTGCTTCATGCATTCCTTCAATAATTTGGCTCAAAACCTCAGATCTATTCATTTCCTAATATAATTTCCTTTGAGTTATAAAAAAATTAAATAGAAAAATAAAATCTTCTGCTTCTGCACCTCTTTACTAATATCATTTCCTTTGAGTGACTGACCAGAGAGGTGGTGGTGAGGAGACGTGGTGGTGGTCGGCGGTGAAGTGGTGGTGATATGAGGGAAAACGAACAATGAAACACGAGTGGCCAGCGAACAACTTTGAGATACGTTGAGAGCACAAACACCGAAACAAGAACTGGTGGTGAGATACCTTAAGTGGACTTCTAGAGTGGTGGTGGACGGACAGATTGAGGTGGTGAGGGAGAAAAGTGGGGAAATCTAGGGATTTGGTGAGGAAGGTGCCGAGAGAAAGTGAAAGGGAAATGGGAAAAGAGGGGAACAGTTTAGGGTTTTGGATTTACATATGTAGGAAAATGGGCTGGGATTAGTGGGCTTAATAAACTTCGGTTTGGTTTTCGGTTTTCGGTTTTTCGAATCCCAAAACCGAATCCAAACCGATATATTTCGATTTCCATTTTTTCAAACCGATCCAAACCGAAAACCGAAAAAAACCGAACCGAATTGCTTATTCGGTTTGGTTTGGTTTGGTTCGGTTTTCGGTTTTTATCCAATTTACTTTCACCCCTAGTTTAAACCCTTTAAATCATGAAAAATCAACACATAAACCCTATTCTAAATGAATAACAAAATCTGAAATTTAAAACCCAAAATAATAGTTCATGGAATTAGAAATTTACAATCTTTATAATGGGATTAAACATCAAACAAATCATCAAATAGATAATTTAGAGCATGAGTTTTTTTTTTTATTATAACAAGAACAACAAAGGAGGAAGAAGAAAAGATGGAAGAAGAAGAAGAACCACGGAGCAGCGGCTAGCTGGCGGTGGTGCTACGCGGCAGTCTGCTCGGCGGTGGTTTCTGGCAGTGGGTAGCAAGCGATATTTTTTTTTTTCTTTCTCCTTGAGTGTACGTGAATGAGGGGAGTAGAAAAGAAGATGAATGGAGTAGTAATAGTAGTATGTAAGTTACCGGAATTCAAGGAGATTTTTTTTTTTTTTTTTTTTTTTTATTTTTTATTTTTTAAAAAAGAGTACCAAAATTAGGGGGAATATGGAGAGTTTGTGGATTTTCAAAATAGAAGAATGGGTTTAATACCTTGGGTTTTATTGTGGGTTTGGGTCCAAAATGTATGGGTTTGGGAAAATAGCTATTTGGTTAGTCCATTTGAAGAGAATGAAATCAAATAATACTCTCTTTGGACAATTTTCATAAAAATGCATAAAACCTTTGTTTAAATCGCATTAAGATAAATTATTCAAGTATAAAATATTTGCTTAAATTATACCAATATAAAATATACTCATAATTAAATAAAATACAAATATAAATTTCATAAAATTTTGGGGGATTACACATGGTAAAACCCAAAAGATAGAGGTGACCTTGTTTTCGTTTTAGAATGTGTTTCGTGATTGATCGACAAGTTAGCGAAGACTTTTGTGGTGGTGGCGATGATGGATTTCAGCGACCAAACGGGAAGATCGGTGCGGTGATGGGTTTCGGAAAGGAAAGGGGGATCGAAGGAAATGGTGCTTCACCAACGTGAAGATGGAGGAAGTTGGTGGTGGCAGATGGGTTTCATTAAAGAAAAAGGGGAAGTATGTTTTTATCGGGAAGAAAGGGGAATGATCAGACTCATCATATGAGATAAGTCTGCAATTTCATGAGTTGTTAATGGACAACAATTGCTTTAATTTATGATAACACTAAATCAACGAACTTCATTAATTAAAAAAAGATCAACTTGTATTTCCTTGGGTTTTCCCTCAATATTGTTGAAACAAAATAAATTTCCCTTGTGCACCGATTTAAAACCTACCAAAGTACCGTCCACGTAGGATTGGTCTTTGATTCAGCTTTAAACCCCTAATAATATTGTAAGTAGCTGCCTTTGCTGGATTTTCCATGCATATTGACCTTATTTTCTGGCATTGACCTACCTATATGCCTCTCATGTGACTTAAAAATATTACTCCGTATGATATTTGCTTATGATGCTTATTCAATGAACATATCAATAGGTGATATTATAAAAGCTTTTAGTGTAGTAAAAAAAGATAGTAAATAGTGAATTTGGGGAGCTTCGAGTCTATGAATTGTTTTGTATGTAATTATATCAAGGAAAATTTGACATTTGCTACCAGCGAAAGCACCTTATGTCACATTTGCTACCTGTTTAATTTTTTTATTTTACTTTACTACCACCTAAATTTCCTAACTATATATTTCACTACCAGATAACGGTTTCTGTCAATGTTGTTGTTAAGTGGGGCCCAATATTTCATTAAACAATAATTTAATTAATTAAAAAAAAAACTTAAATTTTTTTTCCAACCACCTCCACCTCTCCCCTCCCTGTGCCAGCGCCCAAACGTTCCCCCAACGTCGGCGAACCCCACCTCCTCCATTTCCCTTACCAACCACCCTTAACCCCGGCGACGCCCCAAACCTCTTCTCGTGGCCGGCGCACCTGAACCCTTTCGCGCGGCACTGCCCTCTTCCCCTAGCCCCTAAACCACGATCCCCCACCCCGAAACCCCTTTCCTTCCCACGAAACCCTAGAAAAACCCATCCCCTACCCTTAAAACCTCCCAATCGCTCCTCACTCGGCCCCGAAACCCTAGTGGCTAGGGTTTTCGAAGGTGGAGGAGGAACGATTTGGGGGTTTCAGGGGTAGGGGATGGGTTTTCCTAGGGTTTCGTGGGAAGGAAAAGGGCTTCGGGTAGGGGATTGTGGTTAGGGGCAAGGAGGAGAGGCGACAGTGTGCGGCGCTAGAGTGGAGGAAGTGGTTGGGCTTGTACAAAAGGAGAGAGAAAAATTGATGGCGGCTTTGGGGACGGGGTGGGGGGTGTAGCGATGGTAGTCGCTAGCAAGGCGAGACTTAGCGCCAGCGACGAGAAGGGGTTGGCTGGTCACCGCCGAGGGGAATGGGCTGGTCGGTTGCCGGCGAGGGGAGGGGTGGCAGTGAGGCAGCGTTGATGGGGAAAAGGAGGTTGGACGGTGGCAATGAGGATGGCTGAAGATGGAGCTGTGGCTGGAAGGTGGCAGTGAGGTGGCTGGACAGTGGTTGGGCCCCACTAACGGAAACAGTAATAACATAAGACAATAGGTAGTGATATCTATAATTTTGGGATTTGGGTGGTAATAAAGTAAAATAAATAATTAAACAGATAGCAAATGTGACACAAAGTGCTTTTGGAGGTAGCAAATGTCAAAATTTCCTTATATTAAATATGTTTTTATTGTTTTATTAGATATTCTACTCACATGTCGTACATGGGTCTATCAACATGTTTTTAGTTTGGAATTTACTGATAAACTATACATTCATAATCTCTTACGAATAACTGCTAAGTACGTATATGTTAATTCGAAAACGTAATGCGCATCATAATCTCTCAAGTTCATCATATACTTATGCGTGTTGTTGTCGAACAATATAAAAATACTCATTCACATATTACTATAATTTAAAGTATGTACTACGTACAGTATTTTTATTTATTTATTTATTTTTTTATCTTGAAAATAGGATTGTTGCTTTAATCTTGACATTTTCTTTTTTACCGAGACCTAATAAACTAAATTTGCTTCAAAAGGGAAGAATTAGCAGCAACGTTGCAGCCAAAACACTCGGTCTCTTTCTTCTTAAGCGCGGGTTTTTCATCTTATTCTTCCTCTCTTTAAATGGCACTTCTGCACAAATGAGTCTAGCATTGTCATGGCGGCATCTCTCAAATTAAAGCCCTCCTTTCGTAGACTCAAATGCCTTTTTCCACCACTGGTTACTATTTCTCTCTCCTTCTCTCTCTTTCTACCTTTTTATGTTCTTTGAGGCATTTCGTCGAACACTTTCTGGGTGTTATATTTTTCATGGTTGTAATTTTTGTTTAGTTTTTGTTTCAGAGGTTTTGTCACACTATCACTGAAAAGGGTTCAGAAGCTGAGTTTTTTGAAGAGTTGGGTCCTAAAAAAATGGTTGCCTCTGGTAATTTTTGAGTTAAGCTCTATCTTTCAGCACTTGAATTTATGTATATGTTTATTTCTCAAGCTTTATAGATGCATAATTTTTGCTCAAATTGTAGGTTATTCTACTTCCTAGTAATCTAGAATATGACCCTTTGATTTTATTTTGATGGGTGTGTTAGTTTTGATTTTGGGTTTCATTGTGCCCCGAGTTAGCTAGATTTTGATGTGCTGTATGTATCTTCTAAGAAGCAATGGTGAATAATAATAGTATTCAATTGGGAGAGGATTTTCTCCGTCCATAACAACGATTTGCTAGGTTGCTTTTGTTAAGAGTGAATTTTTGATTACTTTTTTTACCCATCTTTTTTGTTTTCCCATTTTCCTTGCGTCTCTAGCTTGTGTTTTCTTTATTATATATATGCAGCCTGTGATTTGGTGTTTCTTCTTGTGTGTGTTTGGGGGATGGGTACCCCTCGATGTCTATTTGCCGGAACTCATATCTTTCGTATTTTATTATAAGAGAAAAGGAACAAACATGTTAGAGTATGCCTTGAATTTGTTTGCTCCCTACAAATGACCCCATGATCAACAAGTTGGGCCTATTCTCAAGATCAATAAAACTTTCTTTCGCCTTCCCATGGACGTAGGTAATCCATTGTTAGTGAACCACGTAAACCTGTGTGATCTTATTTGTTCTTCGCTAATCTTTTTTGCATCCGTCATAACAAGACATGAGAGGATTGCGACTTTACTTTTGTTGGTAATGGATTGTACTATATATTTCATACGTAAAATATGATTGACACATGTAACAAAGCTAATCGATGAATTAATTTTGATGCGATCACCATGGTTACAGATGTTGACACTTCAAAATGGAAAAAGATGGATGCAAGGGAACTAGGATTATCATTGTCGATGATACCATATGGATCAAGGACTGTTGTTAAGATTCTACAAAGTGAAGGTTACTCTCTTGATTGCTTGTACAAAATCTATTTGTTGGTCTTCAATGGACTAAATTAGATAAGGCGGTATTAGTACTTAGAAGGTTTGGGTTTTCATCTAGTTGGCCCTTCATGTTTATATGAGTTGTTAACTTGTTACTTACTATCATACTGATTTAATATGGAAGTATTGGTAACAAATGGAATTTGACTTCCTGGGCAATCACTTAGAAACCTTCAATTTCTTTCTCTGTGCCGCATTTTGATTTTTCCTCATGACTGGTTTGTTGTGCTATAATGTACTTATCATCCTTTCTCTTAGCTATTGGCTTTTCATTGATCACCACCTTTTTTTTTTATTTTTTTATTTTTTTTTACCCCTTTTCTTTCGAGTCTTGCATTGTGTTTAGATGCTTGGATCGGGTGCTTGAAGCTAGTATTTTGTCAATGATATTGAGCAGTTTGGTTTATAGGAAATATGAACATTGTACTTCTGGTGCTTATTAGTTTATTTTATTTCACTTTTTGTTATATGATTTAGGGCCTGTTCTCTTGAGCTTATTTTCAGTTAAGTTCATTTCAGCTCAGCTCCAATCAGTTCAGTTCCTAATTTCCTTCTCTCATAAATAATTCATTTCAACTTTATTCAGTTGAGTTGAGTTCAGCTCAGCTCCAATCAATTCAGTTCAGCTCAGCTCACCTAGTTCAGTAAATCAGAACAGGCCTTTATTGTACTTATGGTGCTTATTAGTTTCTTTGTTCAAAGGTTGACATGGATTCATGCTGTAGCAATGTCATGGAAAGTTGTTATTAACTTCGCAGCAGTTGTCTGTTTTGCAAATCTATGCCTATATTATGGGATATAGCCCTGAATTTATTTGAAAATACCAAAGTTGTCCCCACCAGCCACCACAGTTTGTACTTGGGGGCTTTTTAGTTCAAAATTAAAGTTGAATAATTACAAATTTCCCAGCAGTTCCATCTTTGAATAATGTGGTAAAAATATGGCTTAGAGCTATCATAAGATCTTATGGTATGAGAAATAAGGGATAAGGCTTGAACGTAAGTGTGGGTATGAGTCCGATAACAATTTGAAAGTTTTGACGCATGGAGTCAAAGCTGAAAGGATAATAGGAACTCAGAACTATTTTACTCAGACTCGGGAACCCATTTCCGACACGGGTATGTGTCCGAGTGTCCAACTCGTTTTTTTTGTGAATATTTTCCATAATTTTGAACCAGAAAGTGTTCTACCCATGTCCAAGTGTCGAGGGTCCGACCTGGGTATTTGAGATGAAATGAAGAGGGTCCGAGTAATAATGAACATAGACTCAGATGGTGGGAAATATACCTTGACTGTTTTGTACTTTTGTTACACAACAGTCATGATTCAATACTTTTTGTACTAATGTACATTGGGAAATCTTTATTGATAAGTCATCTTCTGATTAGTTAATCTCAGGTCATGATGCTTACTTTGTTGGTGGATGTGTTAGAGATTTACTACTGAACAAAATCCCCAAAGATTTTGATGTGGTCACATCAGCAAAACTCCGAGAGGTGATGTGACGTTTAGTCTTAACCTCATACTTGCGATTCATTCATGAAGAATTTATTAGTAATTTTCTCCATTTGTCTTTTCTTGCAGATCAAGAAAAAATTTGATCGTGCTTTTATAGTGGGCCGAAGGTTTCCAATATGTAAGGTTCATGTCAGAGGTTCTGAAGTTGAGGTTTGTAATTTCACTTCTCGCCTTCCAGAGGATGTTTGTGTTTTAAAATAGCCACTTGAATGCTAATGGTCCTGTCTGGCTGTCTGTACTATCTCGTTGCATGGTTTTGGTCTCCAGGTATCTAGTTTTGAAACAGTGACAAGCCATGATGGAGAGAAAGAAGAAGCTCATCTGCCTGAGATGCCAAAAGGTTATGATGAAAAGGATCTCATGCGCTGGAGAAATTCCTTGCACCGAGATTTTACCATCAACAGGTAATAGTCATTTCTTTTTCTCAATGTTACGTAGACTTTCCGGGACATCCAAAGAAATCCATGTCAAGACAAGTTACCTTCTTTGTAAGGAGCTTGGCTTTGGTTTATTTCAGCTGTCAACTATGACTTGAGCTTCCTCTGATGATAAAGTGTTGAACTGTTGATAGCGTGTAACTTAAAATAGTTTAACTTGACACAAGACTCTACATAAGTGCAGCAATTGGTCGCTGAGGACACTAAATTACATTTTAATATCCATAAGAAGGTTTTGCCTGCACTGATGTCATACAAGTATATTTTTGAATTTCCAATTAAATATACACGTCTATCACAATTTGAACTTTTTTTCACCAAAGGTATCAGAGAGCTATGAAAGAGCGTTTTTGCTGAACATACCTTGCCCTTGTATATGTGTTCAAATCTAGGATAAAGTTCCTTTAGGGTATCTATGATTCATTAATTCTACAGTCAGAAGTCCTGAACATAAATCTAATATCTTAGTGTCACTGAAGAATATGTGAATGTGACAAACTATTTTAATTAGATTACAATACAAAAAAAATGACAATTCATGTTTTCGTTTTCTTTCCCTTGTTATCTACATCATCCTCTCTTAGAAAATACTTGACTACAAACTCTAAGAAAAGAAGATTGAATGTTAGCTTGATGACAATAAGGCATCCAAAGCAAAATAATTGAGATAACCATTATGTGGAATGGAAAGAGTTAAGCCCTGGGTAGAGATTGTTTGGACAAACATGATGGAAGAGAGTTGTGGGCACCAAATTGCTGAGATCACCAGGATCTGAATTCTCAATAGTGGAGAAACAGATTCTTCAAAAGTTTTTTCTTAAAATCATTGACTTATTCACATCAATATTTTTTTTCTGGCTCTGCACCCTTTTGGACATCAGTAATTGTAGGCTGTAGGGGCGGATCTAATGCACACTATTTGAATACCTTATGCTTATATATATATATATATACACACACACACACACATATATACACACACATACACACACACACACACACACACACACACACACACACACACACACATATATATATATATATGTAAGCATAAGGTATTTTGTTCTTGTTGCGTCAAGTTGTCAACAATCAAGCTTGTGAGCCTCCAGCATCAGGAGTCATTTTTAGTTCTCTTTACAAGCTTCTGAAATCTACTTCCTTGTTGGGTATTTTCTTTCTCACATTGGAGAGGATATTGTCCATTCATGCTGTAATATATGAAGTGTATCACAGATCTACTACATACCCATAGGTATTATCCTCTAAGTGAAAAAAGTTAGTGGGTGGTGTACTGAAAAGGAATCTATTATATGGACTAATTATTCCACTTGTAGATGTTAAACCCAAGCAATGAATTAAGAAATCAAGAGTTAAGTGCTGTGCCACTAAACAATTAAGCATCATTCATATAGATTGACTGCTTAATCGAGAGAGGGAGGGAGTTATAGTCTAAACACTACTGAGAGAATAAGAAAATAGTCTAGTATTTCAATATAACTGGAATACTAGTGTAAAGTGATGTAACCTAATCAAAATACCCATAAGAATAGATTCGAGAAATTCACAATATATACAATAAAATACCCCTCAAGTATAGAGTACAAATCTCTCTCTCTTTATTTTTTTTACCCCTTTCTTGCAGTCTGGTCACAATGCCAAAATCTTGGATTAAGGCAAGTTGGACACAAGATATGTGCCCATGTATGACATGTAGTGTTTGAAAAGGCTCAAGGTGCACTAAGGCAGTAGGGTCTTAGATCCTAAGTGCAAAGTGAAGGCGCAAGGCATGTGGTTCAATGTAGTGAGGTCAATTCTAAAAAGCTAAGGCTCTGTGTGTAGAATCAGGTTGTGGAAAAAAATAAAAATAAAATTAAAGCAGCCATGGTGCCTTATTGTGCCTCAATGTGTCCTTTTGCGCACTTTAGCACATCTGTTTGCGCCTTAGTCTGTCTCATTGCGCCTCATTGAAATGCCTTGTCAGGCTTTTCTAAGTGTCTTAGGCTCCAGTGTCTAGACATGCGTTTCAAACACTGCTGGCACCCTTACCCAAGCCCAGGTAACATAGTTTCTTCTTACTTTGGGTTCTATTAATTTTGTTTTGTATATGACTTGCAAGATTCTGAATTTTTGTTATTGTTTGAATAAATCTATGTTGTTTAAGTGTCTATTCTTTTGCATGGACGTTTAGAGAAAATTAAACTCCCCGACTTATCTTTCTTGTGATCGTTTGCAGTTTGTTCTATGATCCATTTGCGCAAAAAGTTTATGATTATACCAACGGAATGACAGATTTGTTGTCCATGAAGGTACTTTATATTGTAGTTTTTGAAGTTGTCATCTTCATTTGTCATGTTCTGTGTTATTAATGCATTTCCTGAATATATCATCTCAGCTACGGACTCTAGCCCCTGCTCAATCTTCATTCCAAGCAGATTGCGGTAATATACTCAATACTTAGTAAACTGATATATTATTGAAACATAACAACCGTCATTGAATATGAGTTCACATCTTATTGTGCAGCAAGAATTTTGCGGGGACTAAGAATTGCTGCTCGTTTAGGTTTCTTGTTTACAAAAGAAACAGAGAAAGCAATACAAAACCTCTATCTTTCTGTTAAAACCTTGGATAAGGTATAATAAAGGAATTTGGCCCTGTGCATTGGGTCATTGGCATATTCTTTCAAATTTATGCCTTTAAAAGCTTTGTAGTAATTAGTAAAGTGACTTTTTGCCAAAAATAATTCTAATGTGGGATTTTTGTATTACCTTCCATCTTAAGTAGATTGTCGTGAGATGAAAGTTGCAGTATCAAATTGTTTGTCCTTTTTTGTGTCGACACAGGGGTTGTTTAAATTTTTAATGGCCTCTAATCATCAATGTACTTCTCTTCCTGCAAAATACCTTTCATTGCAAAGGAATTGTTAATATTTTTTTTGAATAAAAAGAATTTTAATTAAGCAGACTGCTCATTGTTAAAATTCATGGTGATTTTAATCTGATAGAAAGTTTCTCCTAAACTTGTCTTTCGGTGATTTTTTTTTTTTTTTTTACTTGTCTGGATTTACTGTTACTGACTCTTTGATTTCATAGGCCAGGTTAATGATGGAGATGAATTATATGCTGTCATATGGTGCTTCTCAGTCTTCCTTCCTTCTTCTTCAGAAGTTTAAACTTCTTGGGATTTTCCTTCCATTTCATGTAAGTAGATAAAAACTTACTTGTGTGCGGTGCTTATATTGTCAAAGTGAATATGACTGATTATTTGCATGTTTTCCAGGCTGCTTACCTTGCTGATCAATCTCCTGGACAAACTCCTGTAATGTTGATGGTATGTATAAAATCAAGCAAGAAGTATGGGCTTTACATTTATTGCTCTCCTTTTCTGGTTTGTAATTAGTGCTAGGTACAATGAGCATCAATTGATAGTCCAACATCATTATACATTTGAATATTTCATGTATACAATACATTTATGCTATTATGCTCGTTGTTCTTTATACTACTCCATCTTATGCAACAAATAAGTTATCCTAGGTTGTACAATCATTTGAAAGCATAATGTGAATTTTTAAGAAAATGTACACGTAGTCTGTAATCTGAAAAATTAAATAATAAGTACAATAAGGTTTTTTTCCCTGATATGTGAATTTGAAAGCAATGCTCCCTCTATTTTGTAATAATTGCAATATTAGGGAGGGCACAAAGTTTTAGTAAAATTATAGGGTGGGGACCAAAGGGGGAATTTTAAATTATAAATTATAGTTAGTGGGGATATATATAAGTGTTAGTAGGAGAGAGAAAATAAAATATTTGTGTAAGGTGGGGTCTGTGGGAGTGAAAAATAATAGTAATATATTAGTGGATCCTTACCAAATAAGGAATTGTTGCAATTAATATATAATAGATGAAAAAGAAAGTGTTGCGATTAATAGGAAACGGAGGGAGTAACAAAAACAACTACATTTTCCCAAAAGTTCGATTAGCTGGACAATTAGCTTGAATTCCTGAAACTTCTTGTTACACCTATAGTTTAACTTATTTTCTATGGCCTTAGGAAGCTCCAAATGAAAAATTCAACACAGAGAGCTCGAGTTTCTGCAATTGTAATAGGTACTCATTTCTGACAAAGAACATGGCTAAATCATCATTAAAAAGCTTGACTCATTTTGTTTATTTCTAATCTGGAAGCACCGGCTGTTGAGGATTCTGTTAGGCTGAGAAATGCTGGAGAGGTCAGTGGAAGAGGTTTTCCCTTTGCTAATGAAATATGATGATGATATAGTATGGTTGCCCAAGTTCAAACTTTCTTGGATGGAGTCAAATATTGAGGTTGAGGCTGACATATTGAGGTGCAAAAATTGCTGATGAAGGATTGTTCTTGTAGAGGCTTAGAGTTATTGGTAGTGATGTTGACTACACCATCAGTAGCAAGATGTTGATATCTTTGATGAGGACATGGTATCCTCTAGTTGATATCTTTGATGAGGACATGGTATCCTCTAGTTGAGCTGATAAGCTTTAGGGAAAACATGTCAATTGACCTTGCATTAATCTGTGGAAGCATTACAATAGATATAATTTTGAGAAGATGAGCTCTAAATGAAACCTAATCGTACATGAATTAGGCAACCGACTATACTAAGATTAGGAAACAAACCCATAAGTACATAAAAGATACCTAAATAAATCCACAATATGATCAAATTAGTTTCTCTGTAGCATGGTTGAGAATTGGGATATTTATGAATTAAGTTGTGCAAAAGGGATGAAATTTCACCTGCATCAGATTTGTTTGTCCAGCAGTATCATAGCTTTTCTTTCAGCAATGAATGTGCAGCACTGCAACTGACCTTGTTGACAGGATGGACGTTAAGCTTGTTTATCCTGGTGCCAAGAAATTAATGCCCTTGACTCAAACTTGAACTTGAATTAGATTGTATAAAACCAAGGATAAATTCTGACGGCTACGATCTTAGAAGAGGTTTTTTTGAACAGATATTGATTTATTTTGTTTCTCCTCTTCCCCTCTTCAAATCATTTGTGGAGAACCTACACTTATATTGTCTCTCCCTTAATTTTCTTCTCTTAATTATTATACTCACCATATGATTGCGTATTTGACCTTATTTTTTGTCTTTGAAATGAAGCTTTGGTGATTTGAATTATGTAGATTTTTATGTACTCCCTCCGTGTTTTTATAAGTGTTACACTTTGAATGACACCTAGTTTCAGGCAATTTAATTGACTTAAATAAAATAAGAGGTAAGTGGGGTAGTTGGAGTGTTAAACAAATTGTAAAAAAAATAGTGGGGTTAATAGTTTATTGAAAAGTAATGAATGTATGAGGAAAAAAATAATAAAAAAAAAAAAGTAGTAGTGGGTTTGGGGGGGGACTATGAAAAGAGAAAGATATAATATTAAATGTAGCTTTTTGCAAAGAAAGGAAGTGTAGCACTTATTAAAACACGGCCGCATTTGGTAAGTGTAACACTTATTATGAGTTTAAAACATGGAGGGAGTATGTTTTGCGATTCTTTCTTATTTGACATTCATTTTCCTGTGCAGAAATTGTTCTCTAATCTGGATAACGTGATTTCATGTGACCAACCCTGTGATTCTGTCCTGTGGTGAGCAAATATCTCTTTCTATGCTTGGCTTCTATACACCACTGGTTGGTTATCTTTGCGAAATTCTGGCTCTTATGAAGTAGTTGGATAAATTTGGAACATGTCCTTTGCTGCTAGGTGCTAAACAGGAAAATTTTCTCTTTCTTTTGTCATGTGTGGTAAATGTTTTGTACCTGGCACTGCTGGAGAAATTATATAATATACACAGGAGAGTGACTGGCACTGCTTACTCGTCTGTGGCTCTTCCTGCTAGTCTGGTAGTTATATCTTGATATTGTTTTTAGATGGAACTATTCAATATAAATTGTATTTTTGCTGGTGTCTGTCTTATTTATGTGATTAGGTTGCACAGTAATCTCTTTATAGCGAAGTGCTTTTGTAAGGGTCTGTGGCGCAATGGGCTAAATTAAGACAAGATATGGTGATTGGGTCAGGTAATAAGGTGGTTTTTAAATTGCGCAGAGAGAGAGAGAGAGAGAGAGAGAGAGAGAGAGAGAGAGAGGGGTGGGGGGAGGATGAGGAAGGAAAAAGAATGGGTGAGGGAGTGTGCCTGTAGCTTGTGGGATTGAGGGGAAAGAGGGAAGGAGAAGTGAGGCTGGCATGGCTAACCTATGCTGATATGAACCTAAATCTTAAATGTAGTAAACTCTATTAATACTACAGTAAGCTAGCTGGAAGTATAATTCAATCAATCAAAGCCTTAATCACAAAATGGGGTCGGTTACATGACCAAAAGTGATTATTCCGTATAGTCAACCACAAAAATCTTCCTCCTCCATCCCTTACAATCAAATACCGTATTCTCATGCAAATCCATTTGCTTTATATTCTTCCTAACTCCTTCCTACCAAGTCATTTTCGATTTCCCTCTACCTTGTTTAAGCTCTCCATGATCCCACTCTTCTACTCTTCGTACCGGTGCACTTGGGGTCTCCGTCTTACGTGCCCGAACCAACACAGGCGATTTTTCCTTAGTTTGTCTGCAATGCTTGCAACACCCACTTTCATGCGAATAATTTCATTTCTGATTCTATTGCTTAGAGTGTTCTAGCACATCCATCTTAACATGCGCATTACTGTAACCAAGTCAATTTTGGTCTCCCTCTACCTCGTTTAAGCTTGAAGTAGAATTGTTGACATAAAAAGAAGGGGTGAGGGAGTGCGCCTGTGGCCTGTGGGAGTGAGAGAGGAAAGACTACAAAGAGGGAAAGAGATGAGAGGACACGGCTAGCTTTCTTATGCTGTGATATGAACATAAATTTAATAAAGTGAATTCTTATCAATACAGCTGAAAGCTGGAAGTATAATTGTTGACCGAAAGGGTTAAATCATTATGTGAGTTGAAATGCAAGCTGAAATGTAATTGCCTCTTCTGTGTGCAACAGGGTAAGCTTGCTGGTTTTCCACCTTGCATTGGTCAATAATCCTCAAGAAGCTTTTGTAGTTTGGACCTTCTCATCTCTTCTGTACCATGGCACATGGGATGAAGGTGTAAAAGCTGCCAGAGAACTTTCTGAAGGGCATGTTAACTTTACGCCAGAGATCTTTAATTTTTTTGATGATGTGGCAGAAGAGGAACTTGCGGAAAGAGTTTCTGAATTTGCTTCAATTGTGCTTGACTCTATTGGTGCTTTGACTGATTCCAAAATTCTTCGTAAAATCATGGCTCGCCGCTACCCATCATCTCCATGTCCTGCTGCGGTAAGAAATTAAGAACCTCTCTTGCACTAGCTTGCGTTTGCCACTCTTACACACCACATACTTCCTCCGTTCCTTTTTAAGTTGACACATTTCTTTTATCCTGTTTGCCAACGCACAAGTTCAACGATTGATATCTCTAATTATCAATAAGTAAATATTATTTAAAGTTGACATTATGAAAGTATACATTGAAAAATAGGAAAGTATTCTATCAAGATCCTACATGACTATGTTTCATCATAACTATAAGTCACAAAAGGTAGCAAGGACAGATCTAGGATTTTGATATAGACCGGGCCAGTTCACTAAACCTTATTCATAAAAAAAAGGTAATGAGAAATATGAATTAGATATTTATAGCTTTTACCCACCCAAAAAAAAAGAAAAAAAAAAAAAAAAAGAAGAGGAATGAAAGGCTGACTGATTAGCATTTTGAACAATAAATGTTATAGCAAAATAATAAGTAGTAAAACATAATGAGGAAATTGATGTGGGCTACTAGAGTCGATCTCCAAACCAATTGGAGCAAAATGCATGCAAAGAATGAACCAACTTAGTCAAGTCAATTTTATCGCAACTCACTACAATCTAAATTACATATACTCTTATTTAGGATCATGGGTCGGGCCATGGCCTGGGCAGGCCACCCCCTAGATCCGCCTATGAAAGGTAGTCAATGCCAAATGTTAAATCGTGTCAACTGGAAAAGAACAGAGAAAGTAAAATATTCAGTATGCTCCCATTCTGCAATTGTTCAGAAATTTTCAGAGGCATTTTTTAAAATCTCCTGTTCATTATGACTCTGTAGGTATTTATATCAAAGAAGGCTGGTAAAGCAGCAACTGCAATTTTTGACGTGCTGGAGGGCAACATTAAGTATCTAAAGAAGAAAAGGCATTGCTATGGCATTGATTACGAATTGCTTGGGAAGGGGGACATAGCAGAGACCAGATTTGTTCTTGGTAAAGTTATTATGGATACAATGAGGGGTGGGATTACCAACTCCAGAACCAAGCTCCTTTCAGAGAAGAAAGATGGCTTCCATAAATCTAAAGTAAAAGTTGAGCAAATGGAGCTAGGGAGGCCAAATTCAAAGGATCCCAAACATGAGACACAAATTTGCAAGGGCAAGTCAAAGCGCAATACAGATGGTCCTGATGATCAACTGCACCAACAAAGTACTAAGAAACTGAAGCAGAGCAAGAGCACAGATGCTCCACAGGAGCTTGTTAATAAACAGTTGGATGAAATTTTAAGCTGCCAAAGTATAGCAAAACGAAAGCAGCAGCATAAGAAAGAGGTGGTGAAAGATGTCAACAATTTTCTTTCACTGCCGAAAGACATGCCACAGCAAGATTCTAAGCTGGAAATTAGACAGCACAAAGAAGCCGAGATTCCAAAGGAGATCCCTGTCATGCTAAAAAAAGTACCCACGATGGAAAAACAGCTCCAAACACTGGATCCAAACGAGATACTTCATGTTCTAGAGACTTTTCCCACAACAGAGAAACAACAGGATGCTGTGGTTCCTGAAGAGATGCTGGATGTGCTAGAAGATGCATCCAGTATATTAAAACAGCACAAAACTCAGGCTTCTGTCAACGTGTTGAATGTATTAAATCTCTCTAACCTTTTCGAAGGAGATGAGGATCCTAGCAAGCCTTACCGTAAACCAAAAAAGCAGCCAGCTGCAGGAAAGCAATGTCAAAATGGGTCTAACAAGAAAAAGAGAATACCGAAACTGTCGAGCATTTTTAAGTGAGTTGACATGCTCTATGATCGATCACCAACGCTTCAGAGCTCAAGAGTTTATATCACGATACAGGTTTGTAATTGTATAAACTTTTCTGTTCTCTTGCCCAGAGAAAGGGGGGGGGGGGTGAAGGGGAGATTATATATTACTGTTATAAATTTAGAGTTTCTCCGGAAATGGGACAGGGTTGTGTAATATTGGTGCCCCCTTCGTAGATTCAGGAGTTTCTCTCTTTTACTGAGATGCCATTGTATATCTTCTTCTTTCTCCTTAATTAATGTTTCTATGGAATTGTTCTAGTAATTTCCTGTAAATTTGTTTTACTGTTTGGTGCAGGGCAATGCAGGCTTTGAGGAAGGCCACCTTGCAATTCCAATTTCTAGTTCAGTCCGTGTCTTCAGCCTGTTGCTATGCGAAGGGGAAATAGAAATCAAGCTGCATCTCTTAGTTTTTATTTATACACAAAGATGTATAAATTAGTTTTAGTTATGGTAGGAAATGAGTTAGAGTTAACGGAATCAAGCAACGGAGATAGGTGAATAGTGCATCAGCCTAAAATCATTTCGGTGCCTTGATATAGATGAAACATGTACCAAGTAAATGGTGCAATGTAAACCATTAAGGCACATGTGAAAATTAGTTTGTGGAAAATTATAAAGATACGTTATATTTGCTTTTCACTTTAGTGCTTTTACATAATTTTCAAATATTGTCAACACCCTTTCTCAAACTAGTTAAAAAGCATACTACCTTATCTACTAAGGTCTAAAATTGTGTGGAAACTGTCTATCAAGGTCACTGTATGTTTTCAAATATTTGATTTCATACAACTAAGTAGCTCAATTGTCCACGAATAATAAATTCCGAGTTTTTGTGAATTTAGAATGGCTCTTATCTGTCTAATCACAATTATATGTTACAATGATGATTTGATATATAATTAGTTGTATAAAGGTTCAATGTGGATCTTTCATAAAATCATAATTGTTCTGAAGAAAAACTTTTTATGCATATTTTGTCTATAGTCATGAAGGGTGATGGTGTAAAACAAATTTGATTTTTAAACTTTACCAACAAAACTATTCAGGAGGTAGAAATTTTATGCATTTTACAAATTTGATTTTTAAACTTTACCAACAAAAAGTTGGATTGTCATGGTAAATTGGCAATAATGTTGTTATTATTATTATTATTATTATTATTATTATTATTATTATTATTATTATTATTATTATTATTATTATTATTATTATTATTATTATTATTATTATTATTATTATTATATTATTATTATTATTATTATTATTATTATTATTATTATTATTATTATTATTATTATTATTATTATTATTATTTTTGTCAAATGCAAGCAATGAAGGAAATTGGCAGAAAAGATTTAAAGTGGGTTTTACTTCTTAAAGTTTTAAATACTTCTTTCCTTTCTTTTTTAGTTGACACATTTCTTTAGTCACGTTTATTAATGTACAACTTCAACCATTAATATTTTTAATTACCGATAAACAAAAATTATTCAAAGTTGATATGTTGAAAATATATATCGTGACGAATTTAACAAGATCCCACGCCACTATATTTTTTTATTACGTATAAAACACAAAACACGGTCAAAGGAGAGTAACTGAGTAAGTAAATAATGCTAAAGTCAAAACGTGTCAACTGAAAAAAACGGAGGTAATATTTAACTACTTGGGACAATTTTATGTGATGCAGTTTGGAATTTGGATCATATGTAATTTGGTATAGGCTGACATTCTGACAAACCATAAATTACAATTTTTTATTTGGATATTGTAAAATCTTACCTGGAGTCATGTTAATAAATTGGCTTATGATCAACATTTTATTTAGTTAATAAAAAAGGATTAGCAGAGAATGGGGGTAAGAAACGAATTCATTATTTAATTCTGACGATTAATCAATCATATTCAGTCTGAATATTAACTTTATTTTTATTTTTATTTTTTATAGGTGCAAGGAAATTGATCGCTAGAAGAGTAGACTATTACCTTACGTCTTACTTCGTACTAACAAAATGCTTTCAGATGCATATTTTACAGTATTTTTACAATACAATTGATTGTCCCAATTTACTCATTCGCACAAATGAGCAGATTAGTTTGGTTAGTCGCACCAAAAAACAAATCAGCGTTGTTCTTACTACCCATAGCTTGACAAATTTGTTAGTTTTGTGCAAGTTAGAAAAATCAAACGAAATTAATTTTCTCATTTCAATTAGCAAAATTGATTAGCTCTTTTGTACAATTACGTATATAAGATAACTAGTTATGCCATGTAAGATACAATCGAGGCTATATTTCGTTCAATGTGTTCAAGAGGTACAAAAAACTCTATGCAAATAAATAATTTCAGTTGTAGCATACAATGTAAAAGTTTGATGCATATACAGAAAAATAAAAGTTTCTTTGAATTCATAAATGCTTGACGATTAGCTTATATACGAAGTGTTATCCTTTACATTAGATGTTTAGAGAGAGTAACAAAAATATAAATAAATGCGCACATCCTGTTAGAATACTACTCACATTAATTCCTTGTATTAAGCATCCGTCTTTAAATTTTGGCATTTAATTATTAATAATGAAATCTAATGCCGACTTTAATAAATATATGCAATTGTGATAACTCTCTAAAGCAAGTAAATCAACTAGTGTAACTAAAAGTTTTACCTATTATTGTCTGAAGAATGCATTGTGATGTATATTTACAAAAACGTAGAATACGTCCCTACAACTTTAAAGTTTGGAAAATTAATTCACAAAAACGAAGAAAAGGAATAAAAACTAAATTATAAATGTTTTTTTAGTTAGCTTAGATACGGGGGTACTATCCTTTATATGAAGTATTAGATATTTTGAAGTCAAAATTATACAGTGTAATCGTGTAATATCATTAATATGGATTCCTTATATTTTGCAACCGTTTTCAAACTATGCATTTAATAAGTATACATTTAATTACGGGCAATGAAATCTAATGACGAATTTAATAAATACTAAGAGTTGTAATAACTCATTAATGCAATCAAATCAACTAGCCCAGTCAATAGTACGTTTTAGATATATCACTTGTCCTTTAAAGCATGCAATTCGAAACTGATAAAACTTTTTACATATATATATAGTTCGTATATTTTTTGTATGCAATTCGAAAAGTATGTATGTATATTTTTTGCAATCATGTAATTCTTATATGTAATTGATCATCTATTTACAATCGAATTCATACATCTTCACTAGACGTGTCTAGCCTATCATCAAAGCTTTCAATTTGCTGTCATTGCCTTTATAACCATAAACTCAATTAATTACAAGCTAATCCATTTTCATTCATCAAATAAATGTACAAAACAAATTAATGACTCACCACATACATCCTAATCTAAATCAAAACAGATTCTCTAAAAATAACTTTCTAAAAATCAAGCTCCAATAATTTCACACATAATCCATATTACCTTTAATACTTTCCAAATCTTTATGATTCACACATTCTGTAGTATTTTTTCTCAAACCCAAAAAAATAAAAATAAAAAAAGTTAATAATAATTTTTTTTCACAAAGTGCATAGGAGCGTATGACTCTTGCACTTAGGAAGAGCGTATGTTATCTTACCAAAAAGGAATAAAATAAAATAAAATCAAATCAAAAATCAAAAACCCAATCATATTGTATACACATTACACTACTACAATATCAATATCTTCCAATTAAGTATTATTATTCGGGCCGAGTCGGGTCACGTGGGTGCAATGTATGTGTCACATGCCAGCCAATTTATGTGACCGTTGGCTAAGGCTAGCTCACATCAAAGAAGAAAAAAGAAGGCGTGGTTTAGTTCATCCAACGGCCATATATTTTCACTAGCCGTTGTATTTGAAAATTTAAGGGGGTTTAGGTTCGTGTATTTTCCAGACAATTTTTCCGTTGTTTCAGTTTTAAGGCAACGATTTTATTTCTTTCCTTTTTCTGTTTTCTTCTTCTTTATTTACCTGAGCTCTTGAATGACTGAGTAAGAGAGAGAAACAGAAGAGAGAGAGAGAGAGAGGAGAGAGAAAGTGAGAGAGAGAGAAAGAGAGTATAATTAGTAAATGACCTAATTATACCTCAGATTTTTGTTCATAATCAAGAGAAATAGTTAAGAATTTTTCTGGGGTTTTTGTTAATTTTTCTGGGGTTTTAGTTGAATTTTCTGGGGTTTTTGTTGATTTTTCTGGGGTTTGATTTATTCTTTGTTATTTGATTGAGATTAATTAGATCTTGAGATTATAATTAGCAAAGATGATTAACGATGAAAATCAAAGTATTCCCAATTTCCAAGGTAATTTTTTATGATTTTTTTTCGTTTTGATTGATTAAAAAGATGAAATTAATTGTTTTTTGAAGTGGTGTTTTGAATATTTGTTGAATTTGTATTAGGTCCCAGAAAATTTGGGCATGAAGCTAAAAGAACAAGAAGAGCATTAAGTGTGATTAATCAGAATTTGGTTGGATCTCAGCCTTATCCTTGCGTTGTTAACAAAAGACCCAATTCACAGTAATTCTCATTTTCTCTCTCCTCATTCAAATACTGCAAAAATTAAAACAAAAAAATGTTTAAAAAAAATTATGGGTTTTGTATTATTCGTTAAATCTTGTGTTAATTTTTGTTAATCTTGTTTAATTTGTAGAAAATGTGTGATTTTTGATGAAAACATCCCCAATCCTGTACAAAGACCAGTCACAAGGTATTATTGTTAATATTATTATTTTTTAATTCTTTTTTTTTTTTTTTTTTTTTTTTTTTTTTTTTTTTTTTGTAATGTGATATGATACCAAAAAAATAAAAAATAATAAAAAAAAAATCTTGAGTTTTTCTGATGATTTTAGATATTTTTTTTCAGGAAATTTGCTGCTGAAAATAATAAACAAGAAATCAAAGTTCAAAATTCAAGTGAAGTTATTGAAGATGTTAAAATAATAGATGTGGAGTGTAAGACAATTACAGATGTGCCTGTGCCAATGTCATTGGAAAAGCCTGAATCTGCAGCACAAAATCAGATTAATGAGATGGTATACATTAATTTAATATTAATTTTGGTACAATTTTGCTTAATTATGTGAAAAAAATAATAATTTTGTTTACTGTGAATTTTAATAAATTACAGGAAGAGGTTGAGATGGAAGACATCTTTGAAGATCCAATCTTGGATATTGACGGCCGTGATTCAAAAAACCCTCTTGCTGTTACTGACTATATTGATGATCTTTACCTTTATTATAAGAAAATGGAGGTAATTTTTCATCAAGTTTGATTGTTGTATCATAGAATTGTAAAAGTAATGTTTGGAATTTCACAAGTACCCGTGTCGGATTATCACCGTGGATGGGCAATGTATGGAAAGATCAATTTTACTTGTCATAGAATTTAAAAGTACCCGTGTTGGATTATCAACAATCCGTCATTGGTGAATAATGTATGGAAAGGTTTTTTTTTTTTTTTTTTTTACAGAATTTAAAAAGTAACATGTGTAATTTAATATGTATTTGTGTCGGATCGTGAGTGTATGGAAACTTTTCAAAAATCAGCTGGGTTTTACACTTGAACACATATTCATGTTACGTGGTCTATATCGTAATTAATGAACTGCTAAACGCTAATTAACCTTGTTCATAACCTTGCAGGCATGCAGCTGTGTATCACCAGATTACATGTCACAGCAATTTGACATTAATGAAAAGATGAGGGCTATACTTATTGACTGGCTTGTTGAGGTAAAACTTATTTATAAAATTTACACTTCCTATGACAATGTATATAATATAAAGTAACATTAAATGGATTTGCTATTATATTACTGCATAGTTTCTTATCAGATTCTTGAATTCATACACAGGTACATTACAAATTTGAACTTAGGGATGAGACATTATTTCTCACAATACATCTAATAGACAGATTCCTAGCTAAACATACAATGGTGAGAAAGAAGCTACAATTAGTGGGTTTAATTGCAATGCTGTTAGCCTGCAAATATGAAGAAGTTTCTGTACCTGTTGTTGAAGACTTGATCTTTATTTCTGACAAAGCTTATACTAGAGAAGATCTTCTTGAAATGGTATATAAATTACCCTCGAAAACCCGAATTTAAATCAAATCTAGGAACATAACAAGTAGATTAATTGTAAACTTTATTGTTTTGCAGGAGAAGATAATGCTCAACACATTGCAATTCAACATGTCTTTGCCAACCCCATATGTCTTCCTGAGAAGATATCTGAAGGCTGCTGAATCTGACAAGAAGCTTGAGCTGCTGTGCTTTTATCTGATTGAGCTTTCTTTGGTGGAGTATGAAATGATCAAATTTCCACCTTCACTGTTAGCTGCTGCTGCAGTGTATACAGCACAATGCAGTCTGTATGGATTTAAACAGTGGAGCAAGACCTGTGAGTTTTACACAAACTACACTGAAGACCAGCTCCTGTAAGTCCTTTCTTTTCACATCCGCGCTCGCCTATGTTACTCGGACTCTTCATCTCACCCGGGAACCTGTGTGAAACACGAGTATTTGAGTTCGAGTAACATATAAAATCCTACCATTATTAATTTAAATTTGATTTTCGAGATGATTTACTAATTAAACTTTATGGGGGATTGCAGGGAATGCTCAAGGCTTATGGTGAACTTCCATCAAAAGGCAGGAACAGGAAAGCTAAGTGGGGTACATAGGAAATACTCAACTTCAAAGTTTGGTTATGCAGCAAAATTTAACCCGGCAACCTTTCTCCTCAACAGTTGAGTCTAATGAGAAAGGATTACTGTATAGTTTACTGACTATACAAGAAATTTGGTAATTACAACAAAATGACATTTGAAAACTACCCATTTCTCTATTTGAGGGGTGTGTAGAATATGGCTAATAATCTTCATTGGCTTTTAGGATATTGATATTGACAATATTTACCACCCTTTGTTTATGTTTCTTGCAAAACATCCACATTGTAGTTCATATTCAATTTTTTGAATAAATACAGATTCAACTGCTTAAATTCTGCTAAATTCTGCTAAATATTTTGTCTCATTTCTTGATTGTTTTTTTCTTTCTCAATAAGAAATGTATGTACTCTAGTTTCAAGTTACACCATTAAATACAAAGTACAGTAGAAAAAAACGTTTCTATTACCTAAAATTCAAATCTTATAAAACCCAAAGCATTTCTTCAATTCTGTTAAAAAGTTATTGACGAAAAATTATGCATTTTCTGACAAAAGTTAATACTGTTATATTCTGAGATTTCTGACAAGTTCATATAAATATATTTGGTGAAGAATGTCCCACCGCATGGCATGGAATTAAGTTTAGTATAATAATAGAAATGACCATATTGATGAAGAAGACCCATGAAGTGATTTGAATATTGAGGACTATACCAAACAAATTTGCTTTACTTTCAATGACCATCAAAGATTATTTTAACAACTTTGATAACAACATTTACCTGAATTAAATATGTGATATAACAACATATACAACTTGAAAATATGGACACAAGTTCACACCTACACGTAATTCAATCGTGATGTAATTAGTGTTGTATTAATTGCTTTGAATGTTTAAATATATATTTGAATTGATACATAAACAACATTTATTGTTCACACTCCGACACGAATACACGATATTTCAATCTAGATGTGAGTAGTGTTGCAATCTTAATTGTGATAGACATATATTTGAAATAATGAAAGTATTTTTTAGATGCATATTCGAATTGATACATAAATGATCTCTATTGTTTCCTACTAAAGTTTGGCTTTTTATAAAAGTGATTTCGTATCTAAATTAATGTTCAGCTAAATTGCTTATCACGTGTATCACACTCATAAATTTTTCATACCTTTACGCTGTATTGTTTTTATGTAGATTATGAATATAACCCTAATGGTTCTATGTTATTTATTTTTCTTTTAAGTACTTTCTTGTTATTCTAACGTTTTCTTTAAGAAGCACATGATTTCTCTTTAAGAAGCACATCATATGAGCTTTTAAAAACCCATGCTGCCACATTGCCACGCATTTCCTACCTACCATTAGACCTGGCTATTGGATTGGTTTGATTAGGGTTGGTGCGGTTTGATAACGGGTTGAGTTTTACAGAGGGTTAACTTTTATTAGGTCAAAGCAAGTCAGACTAATGCGGGTTATTGGTCAATAACGAGTCGATAATGGACAAACTAATAAACGGAGAAGAAAACACAAGTAAAGTATATATGAATACGATATTATATATGTAATTTATTTTTATTTTCTTCTATTTGATTAGCCTAACATTTTGGTCTTGTATTGACTCTATCCCTTTTCCATTAATTGTCACGTCCAATAATAAATAAAAACTTTAAAAAAAACCCTTGATCCTATAACTATTAGGCTACCCAGTCTAATAACCAAGTCTACTTACCAGTTAGCAGTTACGGACTTATGGAGTACCATGTATCACTATTTATAGAACGGAAAAAGTAATTTAAAATATACCAACAAAAATGGAGTAATTGGATCATTAGTGGGATGATTAGGTGGGGATTACTTACTCTAATTACTACGTACAAACTTTAACTTTTAACCCAAGCAAAGGTGGGCTTTACCCCAACACAAGCGCAGCCTCCCTTTTACCTACGCATAAAGCCCAGACTTTCCCACACTTTTGCCTCCCACTTTCTCCCACCAACTCTCCTCTCTTTATCTCTCCTCTTTCTCTCTGCAACACCTTCTATACCATAACAATGGCAGCCACCTCCAACACACAAACAACCCTTTTCCTCAAAACCCCTTTCACCCCACTAAAAACCCAACAAACCCATTTCCTCCCCTTCAATTTCAAGATCCGAGCCCCCATTTCCAAAATCACATGCACCGCCGCAACAACCACCACACCCACCACCAAATCCCCGGAAAACCACCGATCCGAAGACCGCGTCTTCAACTTCGCCGCCGGCCCCGCCGTCCTCCCTGAAAATGTCCTCCAAAAAGCGCAAATAGAGCTCCTTAACTGGCGAGGTTCCGGCATGAGTGTTATGGAGATGAGCCACCGTGGGAAGGAATTCACCTCCATTATCGAAAAAGCAGAGTCAGATCTACGTACCCTTTTGAATATTCCGTCTGATTACACCGTTCTCTTTCTTCAAGGTGGTGCTTCTACCCAATTCTCCGCCATTCCTTTGAATCTCTGCAACTCCGATGATGCTGTCGATTACCTTGTTACTGGGTCTTGGGGAGGTAAAGCTGCTAAAGAGGCTGTCAAGTATGCTAAAGCATCCACCATTTGGTCTGGGAAATCTGATAATTATACAAGAATCCCTAATTTTGATGGGTCTGAGTTTGAGCAAAACTTGCACGCAAGGTATTTGCATATTTGCGCCAATGAAACTATTTATGGTGTTGAGTTTAAAAATTACCCTGTTCCTGCTAATCCAAATGGGTTTTTGGTTGCTGATATGTCTTCTAATTTTTGCTCTAAACCTGTTGATGTAACCAAATTTGGGCTCATTTATGCTGGTGCCCAGAAAAATGTGGGTCCATCTGGGGTTACAATTGTTATTGTTAGGAATGATTTGATTGGAAATGCTCAGAAAATTACTCCAATTATGTTGGATTATAAGATTCATGCTGATAATAAGTCACTTTATAATACTCCCCCTTGTTATGGGATTTATATGTGTGGGTTGGTTTTTGAGGATTTGTTGAACCAAGGTGGGTTAGTTGAGGTTGAGAAGAAGAACAAGGCTAAGGCACAGGTACTGTATGATGCAATTGATGAGAGCAATGGGTTTTACAAGTGCCCAGTTGAGAAATCAGTGAGGTCATTGATGAATGTACCCTTTACTCTTGAAAAATCGGAGCTCGAAGCCGAGTTTATCAAGGAGGCTGCTAAGGAGAAGATGGTGGCTCTTAAAGGTCATAGGTCTGTTGGAGGGATGAGAGCTTCTATCTATAATGCTATGCCTTTGGCTGGTGTTCAAAAGTTGGTTGCTTTTATGAAGGAATTCCAAGCTAAACATGCTTAGATTTTTTTTTGGAATGGTTTGGTCTAATTTTGGCACTTTCTTGCAGCAAAATATCTGAGTGTTTGTTTCTCTCAGTTTATGTTTTTTTACCTGGTTTGTTATGTTTATTGCTTGTTACTTCATAATCATGGAGTATTTTAGTAGTAGTAGTAGCAAGTTTTGTTTTTGAGTATTGTATGGCCAAATTACAAGAGCCTTTTAGTGGATGAATAAGTGTTTTACTGTTATGCAGCTTATTAGATAATAGGAGTATCACATTGTATGCAGTCTATGAAACTATGCACAACTTAATGAGAATTAATATTACTATTACTATTATTGCTGGGAAGTGTTCTGCTCATGCCTTTTTTTTGACAATTGATGAGAAGGCTCGAGGCGATAGGGGTCAAGCTCTTTTATTGGTCTAGAGGCATAGGAGAGGCACACCGAAGTGCACCAAGGCTCCTCGCTTTGATGAGGCATATATTGATGTACAAAAAAGCACAGAAGGATCCCAATCGCTTCAATGCACCTTGAGCTTTTTTATACGTAGGAATTAAGGGTGGTGGTTTGGAGGCAGATCTTTGAATCTAGTGGCAATCTCTAAGAATTGACAACCTTGCCTAAAATATTGTAGAACTTTTTGTATTTTTTTGAGAGGAATACTTGCATTTAAAAGAGGGAGGAATGGAAAATCAGAAAGTTGTTGTCCTTGTTGATCGGATATGTTCATTTTTAACCCTGTCTTGTCTGCCATGCTGACTGGTCTGTGGTCGTTAACGCCCCGTTTAGAATAATGATACGGTGAATTTAGCAGGGAGATTAGGAAACACTTTGGAAATACAGCAACATTAATTTATAATGTTCCCTAAGTTCTTCACAATTACAAAGGAGTAAAAATTAGTTGAAAACCTGTAACACATGTTTTCAATTCTTGGTATCATATTCAAGATTAATCCATCAAATTATGTAGGATGAGTTTTGGTCACTACAACAGTTGATGGCCAAGTGAGTTACTAAAATTGATTTGGTGATCGATTCCGATTTAGTCACTAGTGTCTTAAACAAGAGTTGATGCTCATAATGTTTGGTTTAGGATTAAAGAGGTACAAATCAGATTTTGCTTTAAAAAAGTTGCTAACTAAAGACCACTACTTTTCCCCCTTCTTTCAAATGTCTAAACCTCAAGTCCCCCAAGGCTTAGTACATTTGTACAATAGCAATTGAACAGTGCTTTACGATTTTGCCCTCCTTAATGCCACGTCAGCAGTTTTTGCTTTTTATTTATCTTTTTTCTCACTTTCTTTCTCGTGCTCCTGTACACTCAATTGAAGTAATCGTGTACTCTGAATTCTCCATTCACCCTCCTCCATTGAAGCAGCTTCTGAGTTTCGCTCTTTTTGTTTTTTAATCATCGAATATCACTTCCACAATCTAGGGTTTATTGGACGACACCTGAAGCAATGGAGTGGAAGACTGTGATCTGAAATTCCGCTGATTGTCAGGTTAGATTTTGATTTTTTTATTTTTTTTTTTTTTTTTTTTTTTTTTTTTTTTTTTTTTTTTTTGCAAGTTATGTTATTTTTGGAAATAATTATTTTTCACAACTTATATGCTTGAAATATTTTGAGCTTTCTCTTCTCCATTGAAGCATAGGCAATGTATTTTGAGCTTTCTCTTCTCCATTGAAGTACTAGTTTCACAATCTACCTGTTAATCGTTGATTTAATTCAATTTAAGGTAGATTGATTATTGAACTATTATTGGTTATTATATAATTACTGAATTGCTAGAATTTTGCTATTCATATTCTTAATTGGGAAGAATTTAATTTGATAATTGAGTCAAATTTGGTTGTTATTGTGTTGCAAAACCCTTGATTGTAAGCTGTGGACAATTAGCATCATCAATTGAATTTAGCTATGAATTCATGGCTTTAATAGATAAGTTTTAATTAATTACTTGAATGTAATTTCATTGTTAATTTGGTTAAAATATCTAGAGTGTAACTGTGTATTGATAGTTATGTGATTATCTTTGTTGTACAGGTTAAATCCTCAATCTAACAAGTACCCTTCATTATTCTCTCACTAATTTCTATTCTTCTCACAAATCCCATGGATATGTTTGATTCTTGTATCAACCCCCCACAAACCGAACCTCTAAAACCTGAAATTCGGAGCAATGACAATCTAAACGATGAAGATATCTTTGGTTCCTCTATAAACTTGGAAGAATCTCACATCAAAGAAGGCTACAAAGATGGGTATAGGGATGGTCTTACCTTGGGCAAGCAAGAGGGCTATGAAGTGGGTCTTAAACATGGGTTTGAGTCTGGTGAAGAGCTTGGGTTTTACCGTGGTCTTGTTGATGTTTGGACCTCTGTGATTCGAGTTGACCCCAACTTCTTCTCTTCTCGGGTAAAGAAGAGTATCCATCAAATTCAGGAGTTGCTTGAGAAGTACCCAATTATGGATCATGAAGATGAGAGCAAAGATGACATTTTAAAAGAGCTTAGGTTGAAGTTTAGGGCTACTTGTGCTTCTTTAGGAGTTAAATTGGAATACGAGGGGTACCCTAAAATGTCTGATTCTCATATTTATTGAGTTTGGGCATGAGCAAGGTATTCTTGGTTGACGGTTACAGTAGATGCAGTATGGAGTTAAGATTTTCTTCTCAATTTTTTTTTTTTTTTTTTTTTTTTTTTTTTTTTTTTTTTTTTTTTTTTTTTATAATGGCTGTCTTACTGTTACCCTTGTAGCGTTAGGGCCATGAATATTTTTTTGGAAAAATTATATATTTTTGTATTGCTTTGAAATTGTAGAAGGTGCTAATCTTGAGTTGATACGAAGTACTTATCTAGAAGCACATAGAGCAGTATATTTTGTGTGGTTTGATACTCATAATCATGTAAGAAAGTTCAATCCAATGAATCTACAGTTCTATACATGAGAACTGTTGTATGCAGAATTCGTCTCTCATTACATTCACCATTCTATATTGGTATTTGGATTGGGAAATTCAAAGCTTTTCATTTTAGTTGTTTTATTTATTTATTTATTTATTTTTAATTTAATTTTATTTTATTTTTAATGAATTTTAACTACTTTTGGTGAAGATGAGTTCAAATCTTTCCTGTGATTTGAAATTTAACCTCTGGGTTGTCAATTGCATGAGATAATTACAGCAGGGCAATCAGAAATGTCATTTCTATGAGTCATAGGATGTGGAGCCGCTTTTTTCTTGCTTATGCTTGATCATTTAGCTTGATGCAGGATATGTATGTTGCACTGGATATATCTTTGCACAACATTCCATCATCTTGGCTCATCTATTCACAACTATTTTTGGTCGTTGACTGCACATGTTATCTTATTGCCTTTGTTTTGCTGGGGATAGCAGAGGTGTCCTGAATATTTGACACGTCATGCTACTATGCTACAGTTGCAATGCTAGTGTAAAAATCGTGTGGATATTATCTATTTGATCGGTTTTTAACATTTCAATTTCAAAGATTTACTACTTTGATTTAGCAGAAAAACTTGGTTGTTGATGCTGTTATTTTTAAGCCAGAGGCTGCATGAATTCCATGAAATGAAATATGTTGATAAAGATATTATGTATCCTGAGTTTGTAATTTGATCAGGATCTTTATATAGTAGTTGTAAAGCTAACATTGGTATTCTATCTTTAGTGTAGACCGGGAAGATTAGTGGGAAAGAAGTAAATGAAAAATATGATACTGGCTTGTTGCAAACTATACATATCTGAAAGCCGCAACAAAGCTGCCCTTGAGTCTATTGAACGAGTAGCCAAGCTTGTGCATGATACTAAAGTTGTCAATAAAATTGAAGATGAAACTTATAACAGAGTTGGCTACACTCTCGTCTCTAAGCTACCTACAAAGTTGTCATTGGATCTTTGCCCTCTAAAAGATACTGCTTTTGCAATGGTTAGCACTGCTTTGAAAGCAATTGACTTTAATATGCACGGTGGAAGCCATCCTCGTCTGGGAGTTGTTGATCACATTTGTTTTCACCATTGGCCAGTACTTCTTTGGAGCAGACAGCTAATATTGCAAGGTCCTTGGCCAAAGATGTTGGCACCAAGCTTGAAGGTTTGTTTACTTCATCTAGCTTTATAACCTAGAAGTAAAAATTGGAGGATTCACTTTAATGTTTTGAATAGAAAACAGAACCAATTGTGAGTTTTGATGTTTAGATTGTCATAATTTTCACGTTATAATATTGTATAATAGTTGTTTTTGTTCGTCCTATTTATAATCAGCTTAAAGAGATTTCAAGGTGGGGCCTCACAATTATTTAGTTATGCTTTTTGTTTATAGAAAGTTGGGAGTCTAAGGTACCTTTCAGATATTCGTTCTATTTTCATACCTCATAAGCTGTGTATTCTATCATCATCCTTGCTCCTCATTTTTTGTCCAGCACTAAAGTACGATGAATTTGTCAAAGAAACATTTGGGTAGGGATGATGCTGTGGAAAAAGTGGATCATTTAGGACATCTCAAAGTGGAAATTGAAGCTATGGGTAGGGGACAGAGGGAGTATTATTGTTTTAAGCAAGATTCTTCTGACAGTGAAAGTAACTGTATCTATCTAGAGAACATGGTTATGGATCATATTTTTTTGGGTGATCTCTTAAGTGATGGGTGCCACTCAAGCCTCTTCTTTTAGTATAGTAGTGATGATTTTCATGCACCTTGTACGTGCCGATTCATCCAAGATGTTAATCATCCTGTATGGAAGTTCTATGGATTTGTGAACTCTGAATTTAAGCACGTTCTTTGCATATTAAAAGAGATCCTATTATTTTAGTGTTGCTCTGTTATTTGTGTGACTGACACCAACTAATAAATATTAAACTAATGCTTAAGGCTGCCTTTGGTGTCAAAACTGGCAATCACCAAGATTTGCAATTGTCGGTTTTAGCTATTAGATGAACACACAGCTAGCAGTTTCTTCCCCACAAGTAGAGGACTATTATTTGGTTAAAACATATCTGGACTATTATATCTTTCTTATGCAATTTATATGTGAAAGCTGCAGTTCCTACCTTTTTATATGGAGCAGCACATGAAAAAGGACAAACCCTTGATTCAGGAAGAAGAGAGCTTGGCTACTTTAGGCCTAACATGAATGGAAATATCTGGGCGGGAGGGCTGAGCTCAGAGACTTTACCTTTGCATCCAGATGAAGGGCCAAATCAAGCTGACCTATCTAAGGGCGTTGTTGTTATAGGGAGTACAAGATGGGTAGATAACTACAACGTCCCAATCTTTTCCACCAATCTTTCAGCTGTTCGTAGAATTGCCAAACTCG